CAACCCAATCATAACCAACTCTACCCAAGTTACCGCTTACTAAACCATAAGCTGTAGCTGCTTCCTCCGTGATCGTCGAACTTTCCAATACATATAACCAGGACTTTGTTCGCCCCCTTAACACAACCCGGGCACACTTGCTTACTTTTAAAACTCCACCTCCACCGATATACCTGTATCCTTTTGAATCAAGAGTACTCAAAGAGATCAGATTTCTGTTTATACCTGAAACAAGTCGAATCAGCTAAGTGTTCTAACTGTCCCATTCAGCATCTTGATTCTAACGTTACCAATCCCAGCTATTGTACAAGGCTCATTGCTTCCCGTAACCACGGAACCCCTTATAACTGTTTCGTATGAAGAAAATCAATCCTGGTTTGAACACATATGAAAAGTGCAAGCTGAATCAAGAATCCAATCCTCATCAAGTTTGGAGTCACCTTCAGTACTTGCCAACAAATCTCCATCACCGTTCTCTTTTGTAAGTAACATTACCAGAATTTTCTGATTGTTCATCCTGATATGTAGTAGTAAACATATTCTGCCACTTATAGCAATCTTTCTTCATGTGCCCCTTGTTGTTGCAATACCAACAGACTATACCGTTGTTGCTATCCTTGACTTACCCTTTTATAACTACTCGTCTTTCTCTCACGAACAACAAGACCATCTCCATGAGCCTCAGAACTGACGACCAAATGCTTTATCTTTTCCTTAGAATAAAACGTATCATATACCTCGTCAATGTAAGAGTATCCCGACTACGGAGAATGGTATCTCTAAAAGTCATATATGAAGGTGGCAACGAGCATAACAATATCAACCCTAAATCATCTTCATCATACTTAACATCTATTGTATCCAAATCAGTGACGATTTCCTTGAACACCAATAGATGACCTTCCAAAGATCTACATTCTGTTAAGCGATGAGAATACAAACACTGATCCAAGCGTAACTTACTTGTCAAGTTCTTTATCTTACAAAGTTGTTCCAACTTTAATCACAACGCAGCAACACTTTTCTCCTTTACCACGTCCTAAAGAATTTCATTAAAAAGATGAAGATGTATCTGAGATAGGACTTTTCGATTCTTCTGTTGTTTCTTCTCTCAGTCATTGTTGCAGGCATCCTATCAATCCCTAACAAAGTATCATCAAGATTCAATTGAGCAAGAGAGAGCCCCTCGCATCTTTGCAACAATAAAAACATACTATTGCGTTTCAAAAACAGAATTTCAAATTTCAAAGTTGTCATCCATGAACAATCAACATTGTTCCAACCTTACTTTAATAATTAATTTGGACCTACCAAGAAATCGCCAAAAAACCATTGGCTCTAATACTACTTGTTGTGAACCAACCCGATATCAAGAACAATTTGATATCACTTGTTCAAAAACCTGCCAAATAATTAAAGGCGAAAAATATGAAATTTAATGGATCACACAACAATTAAGTAAATTGTGGAAATGGAGAATTTATTATACCAAGAAACAAACAACTGTCTTACAAGATTTTGATAATCTTAATCTAATCTAAACAATTCTCTCTTATTTCTAATGTA